AACAAACACAATCAAACTGAGTGCGTGTGTGTTTCAGTGGTGGGACTGTTTGACGTCAATACCTGACACACACACACTCACAGGCTAATGAGTGGCAGCGGGCTGTTGTTGCCCGTGGTTACAGATGTTATAGAATAACTGGACAGGTGTGCGTGTGTGTGTGTGTGTGTGTGTGTGTGTGTGTGTTTAAACGAGAGCAAATGAATGCTTACAGCATCAATTAAATTCTCAAAGTGCTCAAGGTGAAACTCCCTCACACACACTCACTCCTTTATTCTCCTTTCATCCGCTCTTTTCTTCTCCTCTCACTTTAAGCAGGCTTCCGGAAGTGAGCGATCCCTGACCAAATATGGACATCCTGCTGAGAGCGAGAGACCTGCACTCAAGCCACTTCTCTCTCTCTCTCTGTCTGTCTCTCTCTCTCTGTCTCTCTCTCTCTCTCGCTGTCTCGCTCTCTCTCTGTGTCTGTCTATCTCTGTCTCTCTCTCTCTCTGTGTCTGTCTGTCTCTCTGTCTCTGTCTCTCTCTCTGTGTCTGTCTATCTCTGTCTCTCTCTCTCTCTCTCTCTCTCTGTCTCTGTCTCTCTCTCTGTCTGTCTCTCTCTCTGTCTCTCTCACTCTCTCTGTCTGTCTCTCTCTCAGGACATTCATCATTCCTGCAGCTTTATTGAATGTTCTGTGAGTTTGTTCAGATCTCAGACTCTGAGCGTCACACACTGACGAACACTGACTAGCGTACAGTTACCTTACTACAGTGAAAGCACAGTAAATAATCTAAACTAGCATACAGTTACAGAAGGTGATCACATGAAGTGTTTTTAAAGATGTAGGAATCTTCATAGCTTCGTTTTCACATGCCAGAGGTGACGAGACTGTAGTGTACTGTATTATGAACAGTTACTGTAGTAAATCACAGCATGTAGAGGAACACGTGACATGATTGTGAAGCGCCAGATGTGCTGATGACAGAGAGATCCCTCACAGATCTCCTGTAGAGGGAGCTGCTGATCTGTGTGAGTGTGTGTGTGTGTGTGTGTGTACAGGGTTATATATCCTGGTGGGGACTTAAACCTGAGTACACACAGACTCATGGGGACTCGTGTCACGGTGGGGACCTAAATTGTGGTCCCCACGACACACACACACACACACACACACACCATAAATACCATAAATATTGACCATAAATATTTTGTAATTACCATGAAATGATATGTGTTTGTTTCCTTTTAAAATACATTTCATATAAATAATATATGTGATTATTCATATTATTTCTAGCTGTTTTATTTCTTGTCGATCATTGGTTCTGTATATAAACTGTAATGTATTTCTGTGATGCGCAGCTGTATTTTCAGCATCATTACTCCAGTCTTCAGTGTCACATGATCTTCAGAAATCAGTATAATATGCTGATCTGCTGCTCAACAAACATTTCTGATTATTATCAATGTTGAAAAGTCGTGCTGCACAATATTTTTGTGGAAACTGTGATACATTTTATTTTTCAGGATTCACAGATGAATAGAAAGTTCAGAAGAACAGCATTTATTTGAAATAGAAATCTTGTGTAACATTATAAATGTCTTCACTGTCACTGTTGATCGATTTAATGCATCACCGATGAATAAAAATATTTATTCTAAAAAAAGTCTCACTGATTTTTTCACTTGGGTAGTTTGACTATAGTTGAACTACTTGATTTCTACAGTTTCACAGGCGTGATCTTCAACATCTGATTCTTTTCTGGCTCCATTCTCTGGTGTTTGATCATGTGACCTGAAGGACTTCATTAAACTCATCTGATATGATTCAAATCGGCTGTTATTTAAAGCGTCTGCTGTAATCCAGAGTTAATGAAGGCAAATGTCAGTGAACGAGTGAGAAACACTGAAGATCTTCAGTTACATCAGTGACTTATTGAACTTGTTTTAGGATGCCACGTTTCACACCGAGTGTCAGTTCCTCTGCTCTTCATCAGATGAAGAAACAAACGACACAGACTCGTCTGAAATTCTTCCTGAATGTGTGACCTGTGAAAATAGAGTAACTGTTGAGTTTACATTCATGCATTTGGCAGATGCGTTTACCTAAAGTGACTCTCAGTACATCTGATCAGTTCATGCAATCAAACCCGTGATGCTGGTGTTGCAAACGTCATGATCTACTGATGGAGCTCCAGTAATGATCTGTGAGCTCATCTACAGTCTCAGGGGAAAGGACTCAAACACAAGACATACATTGATCTTAAAGGAAGAGTTCATCCAAAAATCAAAGTTCAGTTAATCACCTTCATGTTGTTTCAAACCTGAATGGCTTTTGTTCTCTGGAGGAATAATGAAGATGACGTCACTGACGCTGAAGATCTTCTGGCACTGAATGTGATGTGGCAAGTTTAAATAAGTGGATGTGCGAGTGAGTTCTAAGAGGAAGAGTTGCAGTGAATCATGAATTATGGCTCTGTTCCTCATGTGACTTCAGAAGATTTGAGTATAGCGCACATGAGTCATATGAAGTGCTGTAATGACACTTTGATGGCTTTGAAAGTGAGTAAATGATGGCAGAACTTCATTTGTACCTGAATTATGCATTTAAAGTATTCTATTCTCCGAATGGAGAACAATTCATTTTATTTATTTACCATCTATATCAAAATGTCATCACTGGATCTGTCTGGTGATGTGTGCTGTCTTCTCCAATCATTTAGTCTGCTAAAACCCCGCCCTTTCTTACAATTCACTGTATATTCATATTCATGTTTTGGAAGCCATGCCCACAACTCAACATCCAATCAACGAACCGAGTCCCACCCTACAGTTATTTTTATTTTATTTTTTTGTTAATCCGATACACTTGAATATAAGTCATAATAGAGAGAAAAAAAATATTATTTTAGTATCCTTGAGATGCTATTATTGTGTTTGTTAATATTTTCACTTGGATTTGATTTGTATATTTTCTGCTTGCATTTGAATTTAATTTAAATTTTAGTAATTTTGTTGTGCATTTTTGCCATTTTTTATTTTTGTAATATTTATATAGGTTTTATTAATTTGTATTTAGTTTTTTGTTATTTCAGGAGCCTGATCGAGACGATGCGCAGCACATCGCCCGCGACGAGGATCATCGTGTCAGGACCGCTTCCCACGTATTGACGTGGACACGAAAGGTTCAGTAGACTTCTACCCACTTAAATGATATAAGTACTTGCGCTGTACAATCTATAAAGACTGTGTCTGTTCCCCGAATAGTGAGGTCAAAATATAAATTTAATGCAGGATCTAGAAAAAATCTGATCGTGATTACAGTTTTTTACGATTGCTTGGGCGTTTGCAGCACATCTGAACATGACGCACAGGCTTTCCCTGACAACCCTGATGAATATTCATCAGCTCATTTGCATGCATATAAACACTGCTCCTGGCAATTAAACAGGCCTTCGTTAGAATGATTATTAATGCAGAGCTTTGCCAAATTCTTGGGTTTATGTAAATGATGAACTGAGACTGTGGAGAGACACACAGAAGTGAGGACAGACGAGCTGTGAAGTGTCTGTCTGTGTGTGTGTGTGTGTGTGTAGCTTTTATCTAAAGTGACTTACAAATGAGAGAAACACAAGCGATTCGTTTCTTAGGGTTAGGATTCTGACAAACTTTGTTCATCATGAAAATCTTTACAAATGAATACAACTTTTTTGAATTTTATAGCAATTGGCAGAAGAAAAAAACTTAACGTATGCTAGAAATGAACTACACTACAGTCACATGACTTCAACATCACCACCATTAACCTTCAACAACTCTTTCAGTTTTTATTTAAACACATTTTTTCCTGGAAGTTTGAGTTAGAATAGTTTACATGAGTGTGATTATAAACACAAAGTGGCTAGTGATAAGATGAGTTTAACTGTTTGGTGTAATTTTTTTTTTTTTACAGTTTTTTTCAACTGTTTACACACATTTTCAAAACGTTGCTACTTTTTTTCTGAACTTTAATAATAATACATTTTATTTGATGGCGCCTCTCAAACCACCCAAGACTTTAACTTGGGAGGAGATGGGAATCGGAGAGCCATCAACTGATACGATGCAAAGAATGAGCTTTGGAGAGTGTGGCCCTAGAACCAATGAGGAGAACCTCACTTTTATTTCCTTTGAGTTTGAGAAGGTTGATTGACATCCAGTTGCTGATACCTTGTAGACAGGAAGTGAGAGCAGAGGGAGGGAGAGAAGTATTTGGTTTTGTAGAAAGATAGAGTTGTGTATCATCGGCGTAGCAGTGAAAATGTATCCCAAAATGACAGATAATATTGCCCAGAGGTAAAATGTAGATGATAAAAAGCAATGGACCCAGCACTGAACCCTGAGGAACACCATGAGTAACTGTGGTAGTTTTTGATGTGACATTGTTTCCCTGAATGAAATATTTTCTATTATGTAGGTAGGACCTGAACAAGGCTAGTGCATTATTAATGATCCCAATGGTGGCCAAACGTTCCAATAGAATTGAGTGGGAGATGGTGTCGAAAGCTGCAGTAAGGTCGAGAAGGATCAAGATGAATAAAAGGCCATTGTCAGCTGCAAGTAGAAAATAATTTGCTATAGTCCATTCTATAAGTTTAGTAATGAATGGGAGGTTGTAAATGGGACGGTAATTATTTGGGTCAATAGGATCCAAACCAGATTTCTTCAGAACTGGAGTAAGAGAAGTGCTGCGGTGAAGTTCCGCTGCCGAGGAAGACAGCAGTGGAATGGCTGTTACGACGGTGGCAAGCAGGATAATCCAAAGTAACATCCTGACCATCCGTATTATGCCGTCACGTTGGTGCAGCAGGGTCGCTGAAGGCTCAGATAGCAGGTGAAAAACCAGCGGCACTCACAGCTGACATGGAAACTATCTGAGAGAGTATTGCCAAATACAAGCAGTAAATGTCACAATGCCAAAGGCAAAAACTCAAGCACATGTAGACATGAACTTGACATGTGGTTGAACAATAATTTAAAGAATCAAAACAAAAGTCCGGTGAGCAGTGGCAGCCAAACACACCAGCGTTCACTCAACCGGAAACCGGAGACCCAGTGTGATCAACTTTACACACAAATCCAAGAACTGCACACACAAAATGCCTCACATCTCTTGCAAAATGAAGCACTGCATTCAAAATATCACAAACACTTCTCAAAAGCAAACATTTGTCTTACATTGCAAACACCTTTGCCATAATATTATATTTTTGGATATATCATATACACACAGTTATTCAAAACCTAAAGCTCTTCTTTCATGAGCTCCTATGTACATTTCTGTTCAAGAAAGTAATAGGCAGAGAGATGTTGAAAAATTCACGGTAAACATGAAAGCAAGATTGAAACCAAACTTTTTTTTTGCTGTAAGCATTTGTGGTTGTGAATACAGTATTACACAGTAGGGAAGAAAAGAAACACATCAAGCATGTGTAGTTGTGTAGTTGTGTGTTTATAGGCCTGTTCTAAAGCATGATTGGTTGGTGTTCAGTAAAGCACATGTGAGGCACTGATTAATTAGTGTGACATTTTGATTGGTTGTGTTTGAAAAAGTAAATCAAGATACTTCCTGTTAGATTTTTGTGTGTTATGCAGAGAATTGTGTGTTGTGTTTTGCAAAAAGAGTTAAATGAAATTGAAAACTGAGTCAAAGGCTGAGAATTAGCGTATGGTTTTGCAGATTTGGTGTGTGCTCCTGCTGTTTGAGTTTCAGCTTTCAGAAATTGTGTGACGAGAAAGATTTTGTGTGTAAAGCTTAAAATAATCACAAGGTGACTTTAGTGATGTATTTTATGTTGTAGAATAAAGTATGTAAATATGTATGTATGTAAAACCATTTCTTACATCATTCTACAAATGTTATTTTTACCCTAAAACATAGTGTTATTTGAATGTTTATGAGACATTAAGAGAACGTTCATCAAGTACAAATAACATCATGATGAGAATGGTTAATAATATTCATTACTTTAAGTTACTGTTAAAGCCAGTCCTGTTAGCCTCACGTCTCTGCTCATATATTTAGCCTGTTCTCAGAGCACATTACTGTCATGATGTCTCCTGAGATTATCAGGCTGTTCATGTGCTCCATGTTCCATCACATATTTATATCCAATATCAGTTCACACAAGTTCATATCACTTATGTTTGATTAGATCTGGTTAGAACATCACGGACAGGAAGGTTACACAATGGAAACGTTCACTCTCTCTCTGTGTGTGTGTGAATATATATGATTCCTGTAGATCACAGTGCTCGCAACACCAAGGTCACAGGTTCGATTCCTTACTTCGTGCCTTACTAAAACAGACTGCAAGGTGAGTTCATTACTCATCACAGTCAGATGAGTCTCCAGCGGCTTCATAAAGAGAGATATAAATGAACATAAATACTAAATGAAAATGAAAAATGTAAAATATGTATAAACATAATGACTTAATAAAGACAAATATGAATAAACAAAGACTTAATAAAGATGAATGAAAATGAACGTGTGTGTGTGTGTGTGTGTGTGTGTGTGTGTGTGTGTTTGTGTGTGTTGTAGATGAGGTCAGCTGATTTCCTGCGGCTCGTGTGTGTTTCGCAACTTCAGTTTGTCCTGATGCTGCTATTGTGTTTAAATTAAGACAGTAGCTGTAAATAACTCTGTGATTCACACACACACACACACACACAGTGACGACACACACGAGTGCTGACGGTGGCTCGGGCCTCCGGTGGGCGACGCCGCGGGACACTCACAGATTTATGAATGAAAGTAACTTCCTTCTATAAGTCTGTGCCACTGAAACAACAACACACACACTTACCCAGTCTGCCAGAACACCAAACACACACACACACACACACACACACACACACACACACTCATGCGCGGCTTTCCATATTTAACTCATAAATAGAGTTTCAGCGACCAACGAACCAGTGTAAACTGCTATATTCTGACTAGATTTATTCATTTGATCAGTTCACTGGACTTTAGCATTAATGTTTGAGTGACAGGACATTTACAGGAGGTGTGGGGTAAGTCGTCAAAATGGGAACCTCCACAAATTGTGTGTAAAACAAATGTGACAACTTGCCCCACCCAACCACAGTTCAACCATGATATTGACTGTTGTCTCGATGTTTTATTGTGTGCAACAGATAAAAATGTGATTTTATTGATATTGGAATTGTACTTTATGAATTGAAGACACTTTTTAGTCATATAAATGTTTCTTTTCTCAGCTGGTGTTAATGAAACATGTTCTTCACGCTGCCAACTGTGAAATTGTGTCTTGATGAATAATATGGCAATGAAGCTGAATAGAATTTTATATGCAAATGTGATTTGAATTCCTCCCAGCACAGCTAACACATTTAGGTTATAAAAATGTGGGAACATTGTTTAAAAACATTCAAATGTTCAGTTTTCTTGTTGTGATGATAACATCATTTAAAGGTTACAAAAATGTTTCTTTAACATTCTACAAATATTCTTTTTACATAAAATATAACGTTATTTAAGCATTTATTTTTAATATTCTAAATGTTAAACTGTCCAATTTTCTTATTGTGATCATATCGTTATTTAAAGTTTACAAAAACATTTCTTACAACGTTCTAATAACTTTATTTTCACCCAAAATATAACATAATTTGAACGTTTATTTTTTTTATTCTAAGAATGTTCAAAAACATTTCTTCGAATGTTCATCAAGTACAAATTATTGTAACATTATAAAGACATTCCGTTTTTCTCTCAACGTTGAGAATGTATATCAAATATTAATAAAGTTATGAGACCGTAACATAAACATTAGTTTAAGAATGTTTTGTCCTAACATTTATATGACGGTCAAGTTGTGAGAACTTTGAAAATGATCAGTTTCTGAAATGAAATTGTGCAGTTACAGTATTAACCAGCAGGATTAACTGGACCAGACCGGATCAGACCTGACTAACCCATGGTGTGAGTTTGGGGTGGATTGTCTGATGTTCATGGAACCTGATTGAAAACAGTCTGCAGTTCCCTTTAGAGCCACTAGTGGTGCTGAAACACATGTCAGCCCAATTCAAGTTTGCACACAAAGTTTGCATCCAGTTCACTTTAAACCACCTCATATATTTTTTAAAAGATTAATTATTCTAGTCAGCCATCTAAAATAATCAGTGGTGCTCGGAATAAACACGTGGATTTAATCAGAACATGCTGGAAACTCCAGGCCAATGAAGACACAAGCAGTAAGTTCCAAGTCCATACTGTTGGATTATTCTAGTGAATATTGGGTTGATTTATGGATGTGGCAGCAGTACATGTGGAGTTTGCACTGCTCATATTCCTGTTACTGAGCTAAAGTTGACAAAGCTTGATTGATTTCTTGCCATTTCGAGAGTAACTATGATGATGCACAAGGTTTAAGATGAGACAGAAGCAGTGAGCTGAAGCTGATTGCTAATGCCAACACAAGACAGGTCATAACCAAACTCAATGGCTGTTGTGGTTCAGCTCAAATGTTAAATATGCATCTTAAATCTGAACAGCTAGTCATGGGTTTGATTCACAGAGAATATGTGAGCTCATTAAATGTGCAGCTGGAAGCTAACAGGGAACGTTCTGGCATACGTTATAAATAAACATTCCTTCAGTAACATTAATAGAACGTTTGTTCAAAGTTATCTGGTCTTCAGTAAGGTTCATAAAACCTTAGAACAAAAACGTTTATTGAACGTTCTGGCTAGATTGAGAAAATAACCCACCAGCGCATGCATAGAGAGGGATTTTCTGCTGATGAGAGGATCAGTGTGGATCACATCAAAAGTCATTAAATTCATCTACAGAAGCAGGACTTCATCCAAACACATGCTGCTGGAAAACAACACTCTGATCAAACCTGACAGATCCCACAGTTTCAAGATGCACTGAATCCAGTAAAACGCATTCATTGTTTGCAATGTCCAAATTCATTTGAGTAAAATGTGGTTTTTATCTACTAGTTTGTTATTCTGTTCATTATATTTAGTAGACTGAACAGTTCCCGTAAATTGCATTGTATCACTCGAATGCCCCCTGCACAAATAAACTGAATGTATTAAGGATGTCTGCTCATATACCATATTTCTTTTGGCAGCGATAGAGGCTGTTTACACTAAGTGCAAATAGCTATTGATTCTATTTACACAATGTTAAAATAGCAGGATTTTCTACTAGTTATACTACTTATTGCGAATAGTGGCAG